GAAAAATCAAGGGCTCAAGGCCTTCCTCGCCTGCATAAAATCACATTATCTTTTATCACCAGATCGGCGATACCCTACGGTACCCTACGTCATCAGATCTAACGCTTGGTCATGGGTCAATAACACCCCGGGATTGCCGTCGCTATCGACGAGTGCCACGCTTATCCCCCCTCCCCCCCCCCGCCTCCCTCTGTCCGTCCCCCTGCCCCTCCCCCCACCACGCTTGTACAACTGGCGGCCCGCAGATCGAGTAGCGTGGCCCGGCCGAACGGTATCGATCAGACCGAAACGCTGCCGACGGCGGGCAGCAGGTGCGTGCCAGAAGCCGTTGGGTGGACCGAGCCGGGCGTACACCGCGCCAGAGCTACCCAGGCGGCCTGCTGACCAGCACCGGCGCCCGCTCACCAGCACCGAGCCATGGGTGAGTGACGCGGCGGCGGTCAGCGGCCGCTCCAGGCGCCCGCTCACCAGCACCGCGAGGCCCGACCAGCACCGAGCCATGGGTGAGTGACGTGGCGGCAGTCAGCGGCCGCTCCAGGCGCCCGCTCACCAGCACCGGCGCCCGCTCACCAGCACCGAGCCATGGGTGAGTGACGCGGCGGCGGTCAGCGGCCGCTCCAGGCGCCCGCTCACCAGCACCGAGCCATGGGTGAGTGACGCGGCGGCGGTCAGCGGCCGCTCCAGGTGCCCGCTCACCAGCACCGCACGGCCCGACCAGCACCGAGCCATGGGTGAGTGACGTGGCGGCAGTCAGCGGCCGCTCCAGGCGCCCGCTCACCAGCACCGCGAGGCCCGACCAGCACCGAGCCATGGGTGAGTGACGCGGCGGCGGTCAGCGGCCGCTCCAGGCGCCCACTGACCAGCACCGCACGGCCCGACCAGCACCGAGCCATGGGTGAGAGACGCAGCGACGGTCAGTAGCCGCTCCAGGCGCCCGGACGGCTGCCGACTGTTCTCCTGCCTTGACATGGCACTGACTCGCAGCCGATGGTATGTGGTGCTGAAGAGGACCCTTAGGCCAAATCATGGACAATAATGGTGTCTAGGCTCTGAGACAGATATACGTAGATCGAGTTAACTCAGAAAACACGATACCTATCAATGGCTGTGACCCTTGACCTCGCCGCATGCTGCGTGCTGTATTTGACACGCGATTCATCGCTCGGTTTTTGTTCTTTTATGACCGATGAGGCGATAAAAAGGACATTCCTCGGCTACCAGCAAACATGAGCAATGTGAATTTAATTGCCTGTAATGCATTTAATAACCCGAACGAAGCGCACTCAAATAGGACAGAATCGGAGCGTGGATGAGCTGCTGACTCCCCCGTGCCCAGCCATCACTATTTAAAATCTGGAGAGCCCGCCCACTTTACGTGTTTACGTTTCCTGGGTTCGGGCATGAGCACATGTTCTGGAACATGACACGAGGAAAGGACACAATAGCTGTTCAGCTTAGTCCGCTGTGTAGTTCAGTTCTGAATACATCATTATTATTGCAATGGCTCTGCTATCAGTCAAACGTCAGAAGACATTTATCTGTTCGTATCTCTCTCCACGCAGAAACATGCACATGCTATCAAATTTCGCGAAGGTTGCAGAGAATTGGTTGTTTCACAAAGATTGATGCTTGGTCTGCTTTGGTCGCGGACCCCAGGCAGCTGACTTCTCATCACCAACATCGTCGTCATCATCATCAGTTGAGCTGGACTATAGCTGAACGTTTAAGATTTACGACTAAACCTGAAAGCTTTTGAGTGTAAGAGCCTAGTTGAGATAAGTTTAACTGAGCGTAGACAAAATCATGAATGAACGGATAGACCGCTTTTTGAATTTGTATAGTGGTACTGTGCCCCATATTTTTATTCCATTGATGCATGGAACACAATGGTGCGTACTGGTTGTATCCTTGCTAAGTTTGTCTCAAGACGTTGCAAATACATTAATGTGCATGACTTCTCACGATTTTATTGCGATTGGCAGTCAATCTCGCAGTATGCCCTCTCAAGATTCGATGTCGGACATCTGTATGGGAATCAGTCTGGGAATATTCAGGCGAAACCATTTAAACCATTTAACCAGCGCTTCAGAAATCCAAATGGATATTGAGCAATAAGCATGTGAACTGACAAATGACACCGCCAAATTTTGTCGGAACTAGGAAGCAACCGGAGCCCAGATGAAGTTCGTTCATCTGGGATCGAATACAACAGTTGGCTGGTGAGGATTACATAATTGGGTGTTGCCAAAGAAGGACATTTTTTGTCAACTAGTTCAGATGGCTCGTGCGCAGCGTGGCTTGACACGTACTTTGATGACAACGTGGCTTGATACGCACTCTGATGATGGTGTGGCTTGATACGTGCTCTGATGACAGTGCGGCTTGATGCGTGCTCTGCTGGCAGCGTAGCTTGATGCGTGCTCTGGTGACAGCGTGGCTTGATGGATGTGGCTGGATGCGTGCTCTGATGGCAGCGTGGTGACGACGCCGACAAGCATTGTCACATACGTTTTAGACTAGCGATCGCCTGCGATAGACTAATATATGTTACACATGCCCTCTATGTACGAAATAGAACAGATAAAAACGTTACCGAGAATCCCTCTAAACTGGAGAATTCAGCTGGGAACCCGGCGAGGAAATATAGACACACTTATAGACATATTTCCATGGCATACAATCTAATTGCGGAACATTTTTAGCTTGCAACAATGAAATGCTTCTGTTGAAATTAAGGTCTTAATACGTCCATTATGGAACAATGAGGGTGGAAGTTATTGCAGGATAGTTTAATAGCAATGAGCGACCCCAAGAACCGATATTCAGAGCACGTCAGTGACAGTGACGTAGCCTCAGCAAGGGGTGAGGATTTGGGGGCCCCACGCTCTCCCTCGAGGTAACTGGCCACCTGAAGCCGAAGCTCCCAATACTTTAACTAAACTGAAGCCTAAGCTCCCAATACTTTAACTAAACTGAAGCCGAAGCTCCCAATACTTTAGCTAAACTGAAGCCAAAGCTCCCAATACTTTAGCTAAACTGAAGCCTAAGCTCCTAATACTTTGTTGACTGTTATGTACGCCCGACGAACTTCTTTAACTTAAAGGGAATGCTTTGCATTTGAAAACACTGAGGCAAGATATGATGAAACAAGCTCACTTTTACGATTGCCATTTTTTAAGTGGGAAAACTGCTATAGACAGCACAAATCTCTGTTTAGTAAATACTCTCCTCAGTGCGTCATGGTTTGATTACGTCACTGTGCCTTGCACGGCATTAATTGAGAGCCATTTGACGGCCGTTCTATTTGGAAATCGCGCTGATGAACACCAGATGTAAACGCCTGGCTAATTATATTTTCTTGACATTGATCGCCGCACGGCTTATGGAATGGCAGGATTTGAATGGCATTATTACGAAAACATGAATGTCAGAAAGACTGAAATACTCTCTCTCTGATATATCTTTCCTCATTTTTGTGGGTGTTTCGTTCAGAAACTTAGGTTTCCATGAGGGAAGATTGTGGACTGTACCGAAAGGCCTTCAGCATGGCTATTTCAGTTCAAGATGCTGTACAAATGTGGAACACTGCCCTGAAAAAGGGCCCTGAGTCATCACAATAGCATCCAGAGTAATAAATGGCTCACACGCGGTCTCTATAGCGACGTAGAGAGCCTCATTGGCTGAAAGGACCCCCTGTGACCCGATTTGGGCCCTCCTTGGTGAGATCCTGGCTACGCCATTGGTAAGTGATGACAAGCTCCAGTGATGAGGTAAATATGGTCTTTCCACACAGAAAGCACTACCTCTAGGAGAGTTATAAGGAACCGTTGTTGTTTTTCATTTCCTGCATGCCACATACAAGACTGGATTGGGAGTCTGCCGCGCTTCCATCCCGTATTGAGCCGTCTGCGCAGCCTTGCGTTGCATCGCTGATGATGTGCACGCTTTTGTTTCGCATAACTTGCGGATAATGCATCATAATGCCAGTCTCGTAAATAGGTAATCTGGCACATGAAATGACACAGTCGCCGACTTTTCCTGGCTGGTGTCTGCTTGAAGGGAGCATCCCATATTGTTGTGCTTTTCTCTTCTCATTACATCGGACGCGTACAATTTTGTCAGCACGCCATCTTCTCGAAATCCTGTTCACCAGTTTTCTTCTGCCGCTGAACCAAGCCAAACGGATGTGCTGTTTTTGCATGGGCGGCAATGACGTGTGTGATCATGACTGCCATCGTGGAACGCTGTTTGATGAACTCGTCGCTGCAGTGTGGTAAATTCTTGATCAGCATCGGCGCGAAAGGCGCCAACCGAGCAAACAATATGATTGTTTTAAAAAACTTTTTTATGCTTTCAACGCAGGTCTGCATGTACAACAACGTATGGTTTATGATAATGTACAGTTTAATTATTTTTCTTAAATTTTCGTGCAGGTTTGTGCGTGCTGCAGTTTTGTTCAGAACATTTAGTCCGAAGCTGTCTCTTCAGAAGCAGTAGAACTACAAGTTATTAATATCGCGTTGAATATGTATCACACTGTGATATTCATATTTATCACATTGTGATATTAATATCAAGTTGAATATTATTATGGAATTGCATATGCATTCAAACCACAGTTAGGTATCCTTATGTAACATTATATCGCATGACCACTTAAGCTCGCCAGACGTATGAACGTCAGAGCGAAAAAGAAAAGGATGCTTTCTTAAACGTCACTGCGCCAGGTATGCCGCCAGCGGCCGGTTCAGCGTCGTCCGCAGCGCATCAACGCTCCCCGCTGCTGCAGGGAACCACCGCCGTGTGCTGCCCGGCGCGCTGCCGATGCTGCTGCCGCCGCTGCTGCTGCTGCTGGCCGGTGAGGCCGGCGCGCTGCCCAGTGGCGCACCGCCCGGCGCCTGCCTGACGCTGCGGCCCGCGCACGGCTCGCACCAGGCGCAGACGGCGCCGCCGCCGTACAGGCTGACGGCCGAGCCCAGCGGCGACGCCGGCCAGCGCGCCGTCCGGCTGCACGGCGACGCGCAGTTCCTCGGTGTGCTACTGCAGGCTCGCAGCGCGGCCAACGTCAGCGGCCCGCCGGTCGGCCGCTTCCTGCCGGCGGCCGACCTGCAAACGCTCGACTGTGCCGGACGGCCTCAGGTCAGGCGCCGCCCCGGGGCGGGATAGACGGCCTCAGGTCGGGCACCGGACCGGGGCGGGACAAGCGACCTCAGGTCAGGCGCTGGACCGGGGCGGGACGGGCGACCTCAGGGCGGGTCGGCCGCCGGACCTGGGCGGGACGGGCTACCTCAGGTCAGTCATGGTCACCAGCCGCCGGGGCCAACCTGGCTTGACCTAAACTGGGGCGCAGGGGCGCGTGCAGGAGTCGGGTAAAGCCGACTGCTTTACCAGTTAGTTGGATGCCATAGTTTGGGGCTGGCGCGACGGGGCGGGTTTGCAGTGTTGTGCGGCATGTTGTCACAGTGTTCAGAAGGATGTGCTGATTAATGCGCAATTCAAACAACTCATCTTTGGTACAGATTAGGCATATTTTTTACGCTGTCATTGCAGGCATTCAGCTAGAATACATTCCAAGGCAGATTTTGGAGTTTGGTTCATCGGTTTCTGATCTCCAGCGATTGTATGATAAGCTTGTCGTGCGATTGTGGGGTAGCGGGCAACGGCCACCTTTGCTCCGGTTTTGCTTCTTGTTCCCGTTCCTGTTCAACCCGGTCCGCGTTGATATGCCAGAATCCTTTCTTCAATGGCGCTTTACAACACACTCAGCTGCCGAGGCTATACGACGTCACATGCCTCTTGCCCTGACAGGAAGACAGGCACCGCGGGGAATCGAACCACGTACCTCTGGTTTTCCTGACGCGTAGATTATTCACTACACTATCGGTGCGCCCGCAAAGACCTTTGAAAAACGTATGTAGGAGCCCGTGCACCAAGCACTGTCCATGCATTTTAAACGTCGTCTCATAAGCTTGACGCTTTCACTCACGCGCATTGGTAAGACTAATGTAAATCTTGAATTGGATCCCCAACTTTCATGACCTTTTGAAATCAAACACATCCCTATGCGCAAAGGTATGGGAAGACGCACGCTACTCGGTCCTTAGAAGCCTTTCCTTCCACGGCGTCCCCTGTTGCCAGCTGCACCCCTCCACGCAAAGTCTGTGTCCGGGCCCCGGGTCCCGTCCTTTCGTGACACGGTCGCCCCGCCGACTCCAGAGCGCGCTGACACACTCGAGCGCGACGGCGAAGCAGAGCCTGGAGGCCGTCTGGGAGCCGGCGGGGGCCGCCGCCGGCGACGTCGTCTTCATCGCCACCGTGCTGCAGGAGTACCGCACCTGGTGGGAGGGCATTTCCTCGGCGCCGGTGGTGCCGGGTCCGTCCGGAGCCCACTCGGCCGCGCTGGAGGTACGGTCGGCCAGCGCGGACGCCACGGCCAGGGGCTCCGCTGAGCCTGCGCCGCGCCGTGAGCGCACCACCGGTCTGAGTCCCCCCGCCTCTCCCCACCGGCCCCTCCTCAGACAGGACAGCGCCATTGTGGGCGTCCCTTGTTACCGGGTGGGGAGTCTACTGCGCCAGCTTGTCTGAACGCCGGCTGCTGCCTGTAAGCACATTGAGCTGTCTTATGAGCATGCCACCTTTACACTGCGCCTCTTTGCAACGCTGCCTCCATCGTGATGAGTATCAGTCGCTGGCCGCCCTAGCTGGAATCAGCAGGTCTGGCTCGTTGTTTGTGGAACTTAACGATCGATTGATCATCAATCATCGATCGTCACGGGTGCTTTCTTATCGGATTCCTGCGGTTGGGACAGATTCGAATGGCTCGCCACAGCTGCCTCTAATGATGCAACTGAATTACGCGTTGTTTCGGTCTTTCGCCGTCCCAGGATGCAGCAGTGGCATTCGGTTTCGAACGGCTGTGCTACTAGTTGCATGCTCCAGCCGGAACCATATCAGCATTAGATGACGGCTTAACACCACTTAGGATGGCATGACAAATGAGAGGAAAGCTATGGTGCCGTCTCATTTCAACCGTGGCTCGGCAGCTGGGTCGAGGGTGAAATGGCGGCTGAGCGTCGTCCACAGCTGCTGTAGACGAGTCTGAGCCGCCAGCGGCCGACATTTCTGACAGCCCGTCGCTGCTCCCTAGCTGCCGGGCAATGTCGAGGACACGTACGCCGGCTGCTTCAGCCGGTACGGCTGTTTCGGCGCACCGGCCAAGTGCGAGTCCTCCAGGACGTGTGACGTGCTCTTCACGTACGTGGCCTCGTCGAGCGGCATCAGCATGGGCCTCATGGCGAAGCGGGACGGCCGGTACGCCGCCGTTGGCATCTCCAGCGACACTGAGATGGTGAGATGTCTCTTCCACGCGTCACTGGGTTTCGCATCCGAGTCTCGTTTCATCCATCTACCGAAGACAGGGTTTTCCGGACCAGTGTGGCAAACCAAACAGCCTAGCCGATTTGCAGTTTGCATAAAGAAATCTTCGTTATGTTTAAGCAATTCATAATGTCACGATGCGATGTTTGCATCGAAGGTGGTTATTTCCTTAAGGGTGAACTGCTGAATAGCTGAATTTGCTCCTGCTTCAATTTTCCAGACAAAGACAAAACAAGACTTCTGTAGCACAACTTTAATCGAGTATATTTGCTTTCGCTCACAACACCAAACCAGGAGCATACAACTTCCAAAACGCGTTCGCTTTTCTCAACACATCCGCATGGGATGCGAATATTTCAGAGTGATGCACGTATGTTGCATATGGCACAGGTGGATGCCGCCTTTCTCTCTTTGATGCGCATCGGTGTTGATTTTGGTAGGGCTCTGATGGTGTCATCTTCTGCACAAATGTGGAGGGAAGTCAACCTGTCATCTACTACGGGTACAATGACGGCAAAAGTTCTGCTTACAAATCTGGACAGGTAAGTAGAATCACGCTCGTGGTGGACCTGGGCCAACACTCGATCGGTTCTATTTTGAAACATAGCACGAGGCTCAGTTTACCTGGATTTTTAGAACTTGAAATCGCGCAATTGCTCAAACTTCCTGGACGTCATCCATGAGATGCATCGCTTTTCTACGGCTGTGGAATGGCATGGACGCTATCACACTCAAAATATGTGCTGTCGTTTTCAGAATCCGGCGGCAGCTAGCAATCGAAAAGTCTGGGAGCAAGACGGACACTTCATGTGCAGCTTCACACAGCCACTCAGCCTGGAGATTCCGGGAGAAAGCGCGCTCAACTTGGCCGAGAAGCATCACCTGCTGGTGTCCACGGGATCAATCGGTACGGTGCTCAGTCCTCATGTTCTGTCTGCCTTTTTGTCAACGGAGTGATTACATTGTCGATTATATAATCTAAGGTTATGTAAGTTAAGTCCAGCAGAACCGTGCAAATGAAATCAAAGACCTGCGCCTCTCCATTATCAGGAGCGGGATCCCGCAACATCGAAAACGTAGTTAACAAGAACGCCCAAAGAAAAATTTCCTTACATATCTTAGATGTGAATGGCGAGGGGTAAAAACCTTCCGATTTACCGGATATGATCGGTGAAAAAACTGATGCTTTTGCGAACCAGTTAGTGACAAAACTGCGGAAATGAAAACAAATTTCAACAGACCAGACCACATCACAACAGATCGTCCCAGCCAGATGAAACTCAAAGCTCAGTATTGGCAGGCGTTCGCTAATGCTTGCAATGTGAACACGACTAGAGCACATGTCCAAAGGATAATGTTTCGCTGTATCGGCAAGTTGAGCCATACGAGGCTGCCAAATGTAGTAGCTTTAATCAGAATAGTGTTTAGTACGTGACAGGCACATGCCACAAACTATACTAGAACAGTGCTGATGTCCCAGATCAGTGGTGACACACTGCTTTTCCAATGCCCCTCAGATCAGTGTTTTTCACAGATTTTCCAGCCGAATTCACTTCGCATACTAAACAGCATAAAATAATAAATAAAGAGGCTTATTACTAGTCGTAAGAAACGTGGCTGGCCACAGCATCTTGCGACGGACGTGATCAGCTTGTTGGCAGCCTTTTAAAGCGTCGTGCCATTTGAGACAGACGGGTCGGTTTGTGCGTCATGCGTTAATGCGTTGGATTTAGTGCAAGGCTGCGAGCTGCAGTTGTTTGCGTTCGCGTCGTGAGAAGCAGGCTGGCTAGAAAAACAGAGCTAATCGCCAGCTTTTTTTAGGTAATAGCGTCGAAAGCCTTGCCGACCTCGGAAGATTGTTGTTTGTGGATGCCTTAGCAGTGGCTTCAGAGTTAAAACGGAGGTCGTCGGAGTGACACATGTCAGGGATTCATCCGGGACCTCCTGCTGCTGAGATGAACAGCGGCTTTGAGTTAGGAGATCGGGCATTGCTGGTGTAGGCCTATCACATTGTGCGCAATTGCATATGAAGCTAGATGAAGGTGCTAGCTACGTACAAAGATATCGCTTGCACATATTGATACTGATATTGCATAGATTTACTCTGAATAATTGGGATTATGTTAGGAAGTGCGAGTTCTCACCGGCAATGATTGTGCGGTGATAGCGAAGGTCACCAATGCTTCTAGCTGATTGCACGATGACATCAAAAAAACAAAAGTGATATTGTTTCAGGTGCCCGTAGAATCATGTTTTGGGTATATGTAGGGCTGCAGGGATGCAGTTTTGTAAAATGCGTAGAAGTGGTGGAGGGAAGAGGGGGGAGGGGTGTGAAGGAAAAAAAGTGGTTGAGCCTACCTCCAAAATGTCTTTGGAATAGTTTTCTCCCCAGATTTGACGCACTTTCTTTTCACGGTTGGAAGCAAGGGTATACTTGCCCAAAATTAGTTTTGGGGGCTGAAACCCCAAAAATTATGAGAAATAAAAATTATGAGAAAAAAATGATAGCAAAAAACTGCATCACTGGTTGAGAGGCACAACCCCGCCTCCTTCCTCAAACTGAATAGAAAACTACACGCCTTTAGACCGGTTTTTAAAGTATGTCTTTATCTGATAGTTTTATTAGTCTAGTCTAAACCACCATTAAGTGTTTGATGGCCAGCAAATGACTAGTGCAAATGAACTCTCGAGGCGGAAACGTTGGTAGTCATGCCGCGTTACATTTAAGTTGTCTTCACTTTTTTGTGGTTTGTCTCATTTGCATATATTGCAACGGCTTCTGAAAGATTTGACTCCGGGTGATAGTTTAGACGGTTCCTAATTTCATCGGCAACAGAAAAGGCCCTTTTTCACCCCTGTGAGTGGCAACAGTTTTACATAGGTCACTAAGACATGCAAAAACTATCACAGTCAGAGGCTCAAAGAAAACAAAATCAGGGATGATATTTCAACACGCGCCCGGGTGGCCGGCTGGATACCCTTCGTTCGGGTGGGGGTCAATTTGACCACACACCCCGAGATCTCGAGAACTATTAGAATTACAGACACCAAATTTACATGGTATGTTGACCAATACGTGAACTCACTTAGGTTAAAGTTTGAAGCTCCTACGTCATGAACTTTGGGTCAAATAAGGTCAAACAAGGTCAAATTACAGGTTGGTCTCCAAAGTGCCCCCAGAACCTAGATAACTGTTTCTAAGCAAAATGTCACATAGCCATTTAAGGTCAGTGACCTTGTTTGACCTTTTGAAAGTAATTGTGACCAAAATCACCCAAGACCGCTCTTAGTTCTGCATTTGAATAGGCGACAAAGATCACGCCAGGCAATACACCCCTAGAAACCAAATGTTGACCCGAGTCATTTTAGGTCAATGACCTATTCTGACCTCCGAAAAGTTCATGGAGCATGTTGAATGCAATTTCTGCTTTTAATAAATCGTAAATGAGCACTAGAAACTATATCATACAACAAGCCCTAGAGTAATAAAAGAGGTTGGTTTTGACCTTGGTCTGACCTTCATACCTGACCTTAGTTCAATGCAATTTGCTCATTTAATTGTTGTGTTGTCTAAGAAAGCATTTCAGAGACGTATGGCTTCGTTTAACACTCCGTTGTCGCATCGGATTGAACGATTCCCTAGAAATTGGCTTCGCTGAAACTATGGCCTTACTTTGACCTGCTATAGGTCAGCGACCTTACAAGGTACATCTAAATGTGTTTCACCAAACAATCCGCCATTTAGTTGTCTACAGCCATGCAAAATTTGACGCGGCTACACCGCGCCACTCGGAAACCATTTTGGAAAAAACCTTTGAGGGGTCAATTTGACCCCCCACCCGAGAGCATGTTAAGGGCCCGCAGTTCATGCTTCGTAGAAGGGTGGTCCGTGAACACTCCTGTCGCCCCCTCCCTCCCGCTCCCGTCTTGGGGCTGGGACCTTCAGTACAAAAATATTTGTGCAAACCCTATATGTTTGTCCGTAAACCTAGAGGAGGTGGGCATTTGCAGGATGCATTTGACATCCATGCATGACATCTACACATTTTAGCTTTCACGTTCGCCGGCAGAAGGCACTCGGCAAATCCATTAGCGAAGGCATGCAGCGGCGCCTCCCCATTTCCGTCCGTACGCCGTGGCACTGTAACTGCAGATCTGCGTCGGCACTATCGGTCCTTGTATCCACGTGCCCAGCCAGTAGAGGATGTTCATTGTCAGCCAGCACCCACGACACGAGAAACGAGGCGTCCCGGCTGATGAGCGCTGTCCAATCTGTGTCGATGAAAACAATATACGGGACACGAGGCAGCCGGTGGCATGCGGCTCACGTCTCAGCGAGGCGCTGAGATGCGGTTTGCTTCCGACCAGATCCAACTCCGATGAATTTTAGCTTTCATTAACAGGAGGGAAGCTACCTATTCAATCGGAGTGGAGCCTCGGCCTCCCTACTTTGAGAAGAACGTGCGCCAAATCCGGGGAGGAATTAGTTTTTTTTGTAATTTGGGCGTAAATTTAGTCTTTTTTAGTTATTCAGCCCCGCCAACTTATTTTACGATGCCGAACCCGTGCACGGCTGAGTTTTAGAAGAAAAAACTTCGACACAGAATCGCCGAGTACGTCTCAACAAATCCAGGCTGTTAAAATCACGCGTGACATGCAGTTTCGAGTGTGCCACTCAAGTGACACGCCAGAAGCTGCGAGTCATGGTAGATATCTGCGGCCTTGATTTCTGGTGGCCTTCCCTCGATGATGTGCAAGATGTCACGCGTGTTACGTTTATGGCACACTTCAGAAGCTGCGAGTCACGTCTGATATCTTCGCCCTTGATCTCATGAGCCAAGGTCGATTACGCTGCGCTCGACATCGAAACGATATTGCGAAACAATGTTGCAAAACAATGTTGAACAATATTGCGGATTTATCAGAAAACGCTGTTCGACCACAGATGAGACATCATGCTTGCCGCTAAAACGATGCGAGCACTTCAGAAATTCACCGTGCGTGCAAGCTCACGAGAGCGTCGACAATCAGCGACACAGACGGGGGAGGGACAGAAAGCCCTACTTGTACGTCCCGAGGGGCCCGAGGAGCCCCTGAGGATCGACGATCAAGGGCGTAAGGACCGAGGGCCGTATCGGGGCCCAGTCCTGTGGCCGCGGCCTTTGAATGTCAATCGGAGGAGCTCTTGCGTCGGTCTGGCCCCCGGTACAGCGAGGAACCTTATGTTGGTCAGAGACCACCAATGCTGAGCAGTCGGCCCCGCGTCAGCCTTGGGGCTCTTATCAGGTATGAACAAGACCAGGGCCTGCTTGCGTCAGAAAGCCTCTTGCAATGGTTGCGTTGAATTGCTCGTTGGCTGCATTGCATTGGTTTCTTAGACACCTATGGACCCCTGTGTCGGTTCAGGACCCACAGTGCCTAACAAAGGATCTTATGTCGCCAAGAGAACCCGAGTGAGCCCGGGGTTCAATTGGTGAACAGGGACAGGGACGGGCCCCCGAATGTCAGGGAGCCTCTTGTGTTGGTCAAGACCCTATGAAAATGAAGGGAGATGTGATAAATGAACATGGAAAGGTCCGCAATGATGCAGTTAAAGGGCTGTGTGTCAGATGGGGGGGGGGGGGGGGGTCCGTAAAGAATGAAAACCATTCGTTCCTGTTTGAATGGGGGCCCCCTGTATCGTCAAAGGATCCTTCTACGTCAGTCAACGAGGACTTCTGCGTCGATCTGGAGCACCTGCTCCAGCTAGACGACCTCTTGCACCGGGGAGTGGATCGATGCATGACGCATCCCTTCGAGGGGCCCCGGATCGACCAGGGAACCTCAAGCCCGTGTCGCCAGCCTGGTAGCCGCACGTACCCCGAGCTGGGACGAAAAGGCACCTCAGCCCCTTCCTGAGGGGCGTGCTGACCGGGAAAGGCATGTGGTTCCCTCATCGTTCAATCCACGGGACCCCGCAGGGAGCGCGCCCATCATCATGACCGGATTAAAGAAACAAGGAAAATTGGGACCCTCGAAAAAAGACAAGATCCGATTATTCCATTTGGGGTGGGGCTTCACCGAAGGGTCTTCATCAGGCTCCGTGCCCCTTCCCCCTTCGCCAAGACTCTGCTGCGCCTCAGCCGATGATGCCCGGGTGTAATGCATCGGTACATTGGCGCTGATAGACGCCAGCAGGACTACACGACAGCCACAAAGGACTCTGCGTAATCCATTGCGGGAAAGAAAGGAGCGCCACCACACTTTGCAACAGTATAATGGTATGTAATGTTGGCATCAAGGCCATGTCATAAGGCCATGGTTGGCATCTATAACGGGGAAATCAATTACCTGAATGTAGTTTACTAAACGTGTGCATTATTTCGTCGCTGTACTCCGGCTGTAAAGAAACGCATTGTGCATCCGCGTTGTGCGTGTGTGATATTTATCGCTCATCTTACAGACCCTTAAAATGTCAATATCATATCCGGGAACCAAACCCGGACATTTTTCATATTTGTAGTGAATGTCTCCAATAGACCTTTCCTAGTTGTGAGGCACTGTACCTTCACACCTCCGTCAGCCCAGCGGTAGAGATTGAGCATGCCGTGTAGAGATTCCGGCGTTCAATCGATTGCGTGAGGCCCACAATTTTAGTGTCTATAAGACGAACAGAAGTATCTTCGTGCAACGCGACTGCACAATTTGGTCCTTCGTTTGAAGACGGACATGAATAATACAGCGATTCCCCGGCATTTGTTAGCATTTTCTCCACGCTTTGCTGATTCTGGACATATGTTGAGAGCACCGAGGTACATATTGGGTGGAGCATGGGCTTCCCAAGAGATACAAGGTTCAGCCTCGGCATCATTAGTGAGTTGCTAAGTTTACAACGCTAGGACGCAAGATAGGACAGAGAGCAGTGTGGAGTAAAGCAAAAGCAGCAGCAATGTGTCTGTCCCAATCGCTCAGTCGGCTGGAACGCCTGCCTTTCAATTCGCCCACTCGTGTCGGGGTGGGCTGGAGTCGCTTTAGGCGCCCGTTATTTGCCTTTGAATGGGATGGTCTGCAACCAGTGACAGTGGCCGCGCTGAAGGTCAGCTGACTTCAAAGGGCACGGCAAACCGTGCCGAGTATTGCAGCGGTACGTTAGCTCAAGCCACACAGTTACGCCGTTGATCCAGAACGTCGTGATCGGATGGCCGGGTCAGGACCGGCGCAACAAGCGCTGCTTAGCTTGTGCACTGGTCCCAAACATCCATCCAATCAAAAGGCTCGGAATAAATGTAAAAAAACGCCTACCGTCTGTTATCTGTCTGAGCTATCAGCGGTTGACAGCGGATTTCTACGTGTCCTGAGGATTAAGTCGCGGCGATAGCTAAGGCGCCAACTGGCGTCGGTGGTCATGAGAATACGCCAGAGGCTCCGGGAGATCGGAGCTACCGCTCTCATGACACTCCACAATGGCGATAAGATATTCTGGAACAGGAACATGCTCGACAGATTCAAGAGGGCCAGGAATCCACATGGGGTTTTCATGTCATGAGTGGAAACATACTTGAGCTCAATATGAAATATGCAGGACGAATGGCGGCAAGGCGGGATATTTAGCGATCCCGCCTTTCCCCCTGGGATCTCATCAGTTCAGTTCACTTTCATCTGTTTCATGAGTGAAGGAAGGCGGCGGCGTATCTAAGAAGGACTTTTGCAGTCAGGCCCTCCAATGGAGGTGGCTCTATTTCCCCCTCCCTCCCACCTCCCGGGGTCAAAGTGCCAGCGCTTTTGAGTAGTTTGTTACGGCCGCGCGGCTTCTCAAATAGGAAACAACGCGCCTGTGAGGCCTCGGGATAGGGTGAGAGTCTGACAGGGTGCTCTGAATACAAAAACAGTGTCCTTAAGGGTTGGAGAGAGGCCCCTTTGACTGGAGGGGTCCTTTATAATCCGATTTGCCCCCGTCCTGGGCGTAATTTTGGTGACGCCACTGAGTAAAGAAAAGGGTCCACGAGGAGCTAGTAAGGAAATTGTTAATAAACTTGTAGGCAAAACTCGAAGCAACCATGAAATGGACTTAATGGAGCAACTGTTTTTGATCATTTATAAACTACGTCACGGATTTTGCTGTGCGCTTTTACCGCCCCCTTCCTCAGCAAACGCTGCTTTAGGTTGGTTTCTGTACCTTCACCGCTAGCGTAACACCAGTCACGACCCCTTCCTCGTTACCCTCACGTAGCTTGTGGATGAAGCCTAACGAATTAGAACAATTGCAATCATTTACGAATCAGTTCAATCACACACCATTTAGTATGCTTTTACCATGACCTAAGTCATAAGATCTCTTAAACGCGCGAGGCTCGGGCGATAAGGGATGCCGGTGATAGCTTCTGCCGTCGTGACATCGCATTTATTCAGCATGCACCTGGACAGCACTTGTGATAGTTATCATTTCGTTTCATGCTGAAAGGTATGCTTGATCATGATCATGATCATATGATGATGGAAAATGGCGACGGATGGCTTGATATATGATAATGAGTGGTCAGTTTGCCATTATGCCGTGCTATTATTTCGGTGCAAAATAAAGTGACAAACGTGAGGAATATGAACTCCAGCTACACTCTAAGCACAGCATAACACCCAACTCGGTTGGCGTGTTCATCAGCTGGCGTTGCTTGTTACGCGACCGTGCCATTGAACCATTCACAGATCTTGTTTGTCCTTTGGGCCTCGAATCGGTCACCACTAAAAAGCATCCCATTTCCAGAAGCTATAGAACACTACTTCCAATAGCCGTAACCTAAATTGAGGAATACGACCGCGATCATAAATTATGAGGGCCTTTTGAAGTCGACAATTTAACAGGTGCCAAAAGGTCGAAGTACTTACCGTGTGTTATCATTTTTCAAAGGTGTCCTGAGGCAAAACACGGGTGTGCATGTGTGTGTGACTTAAATGCATTAACGGTGGTGTTTCTCTTCCACGTTTTTAACATCCTCTGGCTACTATTTTGGCCAGCTATGACGCTTCCATCAAGTCAACAAATACTTGCGCATAGATAAGTTTTGACAGGGTTTGATTTTCACTGCCTTGTGAAGCAGAGGCATGACAAACGGGTGTCAAGCTATGCACAGGTTGTGGTGTGATCTTTTTGCAGAGACTGCAGATGCTGAGTGAAAATTGATCATTGTTCTGTTGTTATCGGAAAGGCTACTCAGCACGATTGTGGTATCGGACGTGGACCTCGCCACTGGCGGGTCGCTTGATTACGTGACGAAAGCCCTTCAACCCATGACAAACACATACTTACGGGGAGTGCTCCACATTTTGGGGGTTATGAACTGAAATAGACATGTGGAAGACCTTTCGGTGTAGCTCACGGACACGCCCTTTTTGAGACCTAAAACCCTCTGGTTCTTGAGGCTCATGGCCGCAAACATGTGGGGGAGCAATTTGGAAGAGTATTTGAACATCGCCTTGGTGTTCATTACGTCATGATAGCGTCATTCAAATCCCGACATTTTACAAGCGATGCAGTGATGAATGCCTGGAAAAATGTAATGTTCAAGTCATTCGTATCTGACGTTCGTGAGCACGATTTCTAGACATGACGGCCGTTAACTGGCTCTCAGTCAATGTTGTGCAAGGTACGATGACATTATCAAACATTGACGTATTTAGGAGCATATCAACTGAACAGAGAAGATGTGCTGTGTCAAGCGGTCTTTTGTACTTAAAAGTATGCCAACATTTATAATTGAGCTTATTTCATCATATCTGCAGCCTACCTCAATATCTTCGAATGCGAAACATTTCCTTTAAACGCAGAATGCAACTGGTCTCAACGCACTAGCAGCAGGGGTACTGCAGACACGAATTTCAATGCTCCGGCCGCGCTAATGATATGTCATGGTGACAGCAGCTTTGGCCTTATTCGAGCAAACCGAGTAACCTCAAAGATTCAGCGTGACTTTAAGTAATGATTGTGTCGAGAAGAAACTGCGGAAAGCAAAACGCTGCTATTGACATTACTGCACATCAACGAGTGTGCGTCTCAGTCAACTCACGGCAATACAATGCATTTCTGTGAATGGATACCATGTCCTTCCTGGAGAAAACACGGAAACCGTCGCGTCCTTACGTTGCAGTCTAATCGAAGCATGCGGGTTGAAACTTTTCGGCGTGTTTATGAGTGTCAAATACTAATTTGCAATGCTAATTTGTTGCCTGATTGTCCTGCCTTTATGCAATGACAAACCGCTTAATGGGATTTTCGGACAGCCTAACCTGCCATCTTTGGCCCCGCCTCCCGCAGGGAGCAGCACGTCTGTGGCGCAACGATGCTTTGTAATGGGTAACACCTGAACATCGTGATATGTTCAGCCCCTAGTCGCTATTAAAGAAAACGCATGACAATTATCGGTAGAACGGTTGAACGGTGATGACTTGTGAACACTCGGCGTGTTTTCCAGCTCCGACCATTGCTATTCTGGCCTCGCGCAAAACTCACGCACGCGAATACACGCGTGTTTTCAAGCCATATCAGCGTGCCAGGAATGTTTCAATCGGGATCCAGAACAATCCCATTAATTCCAGACACAGCTGTATAGAATACCATGGATAGAAATGTTCAGGCAAAGTGCCCGTTACAGGCGATTCGTCCGAGCCAAGGTACCACGGCAGCGACAAAATCGCCTCTTCAGAGCCGGTGGATCTGACAGACAACTCGGCGCTGACGTCGGCAGGAGTGCCCCGCCTCATAAAAGGTGCTGATTGAAGTGGGGGCGATCTGCACTCGTTAGCTGCGCACGGGGCAGCTCTGACACCGCAGAAAAGAAATGAGGTTGGATGTGAACTGTTTGGAACGTCAGCTTGACAGCGTTTAACTGAATACGTGGTATTCAACCAACCCAAAATCTTAAAGCGGGAAGAAGGCGCTTAAAATTTTCCAAGCCCGGCATTTGATGTCTGTCATATTGTTATGATATTATGGCGTCAACATAGTTATTTTTATTAAAAATGCACTGCATCTTGCATATTGTTATGATATTATGGCGTCAAAATAGTCATTTTATTCGAAATGCGCTGCATTTCTGTGAACGTGCACACAAAGACTTAGATTATCCTGAAAACATCATCAACACCAGTGTTATTTGTTTGCGCCGCGCACCACCAGAGGCACGACACGTCATGTGCTGGTCTCTTTACATACATCGAGCAATAAATCAATGGAAAATCTAGGACCGCTAATAACCGCAGTACCTTCGCATGAAAGTCTTATCGGAAAATTGGCAAAGCGCTCCCTTTATTCGGGCCCATTGAATAAACTGTGTATTCTCTCAGAACCACCTCCGTCTACGGTTGAGGAGTCAGTTTCATAAATGCGTGCCCTGATGCGAGGGTCCGCCGGCAGCGCACGGGTCACTGATGCAATTTCATAAATATGTGCCTGATGGAAGGGCTCGCTGGCAGCGCACGGGTCCCTGATGCTGGTGGCATGGGTCGGCACGGCCGGTATTGGCATTCTCTCTGCTCAGCACCTCCGGCTGACGTGGGTCGGCAAACAGATCTTCGGCAAAGACGTGTGGTTTACGGTGAGACACCTGTGCGCGCTGCTCCGCACGCGCGGGAGCTGTCTGTGCACGCTACTCCGCACGCGCGGGAGCTGTCTGTGCGCGCCGCTCCGCACGCGCGGGAACTGTCTGTGCACGCTGCACTGCACGCGCGGGAGCTGTCTGTGACCTGTCTCTGACGTCACTGAAGTCGTGCATTGGGTGCGCTCGGCACGGGCCCGTTCAGGAGTCCCGTTGGTGACAGGTCAATTCTTCACCTGCGTCTATCTAGGCGCCAAATGAGCATGGAGCTGAATACAAGACATGCACGGCGGTATATTGTCCGCCGCCGTTGGGTACGACAGCGACGCACGGCTGCCTGCTGTGCTTTCAGATTCATCGGGCCATGATGGTGCTGACGGCGCTTTGCACGTGGACTGGGTTCGCCCTTATCGTCACCCACCTGAAGACGCTCAGCTTCGGCCACCCGCACAACATCCTCGGCTTCATCGTGTTCCGTGAGTGTGGCGTGCGTTCTGAGGCGGGTGACCTCTCGCCCTGTCAACCATTTCGACGCAGACGGGGGTCTCGGCTCGGCGGCAGCTGCCACGCCTGCCGGTTTCAATGACCGCTCGTCTAGGAATTCATAACGCCGGCACCAGGTGTGTGACTATTTAGGGCAATGTCTCAACAGCCACGAGTACCCTCCCAAAGAAGCACGGTGTTACAGGCTGACCAGAGTGCCCCCGTGCCCTCCCCCCCCCCCGTGGCGCTTTCGAACTGTCGAATTGCGACGGCTCACTGAATTGCGAAGGTCACCTTGTGCCTTCGTAGGGTTATGCGGTGTCAAATTTAGTTGTTCCTTGTAGAGACGATCGTATCATACGACCTGTGAAAACATATCGCTGTGCTATTCGATTGATGGACCCGAGGAGACGATGCAGCGGATGACGTTTCTTGGCAGGACTCTCACGGCACCGATAATACACGACATGATGCACTTATCCTACTCTGGATCCGTTTTGACCCACCTTTGAACTCACCTCCAGTTTCGCTCCGAACTTCAACCAGGTTACCGACCTTATTTTGTCCATGTCTGGTCTGCCTCTGACCAATATCCGACCCCGTGCAGCGCCACCATAAACCTGTTTCTGTCCCACCTCTAACCCACCCCTGACACACCACCAACCCACCCCTGATTCATTTCTGACACGCCGCCGACCCACCTCAAACCCACCCCAGGTGCACGTTTAGCCCATTACTGACACACCATTAACCACCACTGGACCCACTTCCAACCACAGTTGCCCGTCTCCGCGGATGGCAGCAGTGATCTCGGTGCTGTCGGTGGTAGGTGAGCTAACTCACCTCTGAACCCCCTCTGACCTACCCTTGACCCACCTCTGAACCCTCTCTGAACCTCTTCTGGCCTACCTCTGGCACGACTCTGAGTCCCCTCTGACCTTACACTGACGCATCTTTGAACCCGCCCTGATCTACCCCCGACCAACCTCTGACCCTCTCTGACCTACTCCTGACCCACCCCTGAACCCCTCTGACTTACCCCTGAGCCTTCTCTGGCCTACCTCCAACCTATCTGACGCACCTCTGAGCCCCTTCTAGCCTTACTCTGACACACCTCTGAACCTTCTCTGACCTACCTCTGACCCACCGCTGACCCCCTCTGACCTACCTCCAGCCCACCTCCAAACCCCCTCTCACCCACCTCTGACCTACATCTGACGGGTGGCCGCGGTGGGCCGCAGTGATCTCGGAGCTGCAGGTAGTAGGCGGGCTGACCCACCTCTGAACTTCTTATAACCTACCTGTAACCCACCTGTGAACCCCTTTTGAATCCCCTATGACCTACTCGCACCTCTGAATCTACTCCGACCTTGCTCTGACGCACCTCTGGACCTCTCTGACCCACCTCTGAACCCCCTCTGACCTACCTCTGAACCCCCTCCGACCTACCCGTGACCCACCTCTGAACTCCCTCTGACCGGCTGCCGGTGGGCCACAGTGATCTCGGTGGTGCAGGTGGCGGGCGCCCTGCTGCGACCCAGCCCGGAAGCCCGGCTGCGACCGCTGTTCGCCTGGGGCCACCGTCTCGGCGGCTTGGCGGCCTACCTGCTGTCACTAGTGGCGCTGTTCCTAGCGCGACAGCTGCCGCAGCTTGACCTGCCGCGCTACTGGCTGTGGCTCCTCACGGGCGCTATTGCGCTGGACGTCGTCGTATCCCTGGTATTCATGGTGAGCATGTGGAGAGCCGGGAGGAGAGCTGGGGGAGGGGGACGTTACAGCAGTCATCACATTACGGCTCGCTGGTGAGGGACTCAGGTCACGTTCGACCTTTGCCGGTAGTAATGGCTGCCCCATCTCCTCATCTTAGGAAGAATTCATTCCGGCTCGGAGGCTATATTCCTCTCCAGATGTTCCCGGGCTGAAGTAGTGAGCCCTCGCACTGATACAGCTGCCATACATTTGAAGCGTTTTGTGGTGGTCCCGAGCTGTTGAATAGAGCTTTGCGGTGATTTACGGCTGCATGACAGGTCTGGATGTTCACAGGCAATTCATCACTGCGTTGGGGACTCCCGGGTCGACCCTGACGTGGGATCACCCAGCAAACACGAGGCTCCCGTGAGTATCACAGTCCGGATAATGTCATTGAGACCACGAAAGTCGTCTTGGCTCCATTGAGGGTTGGTAAGGCCGGTGTTCGCTTTTTCGTTCTTCGGTAGGCCAATTCGATTCAATGCAACGGGAGTTTTCTCTACGGCTTTCTGCGATGCCAACGTTATAGTGGCTCCCACAGCTCTGATAACAGTGACGCCATGCCGCTTTAGGAACAGCGAGACACATCCATTTCCATACGTGTCACCGCCAGAAAATATAAAGCCGAGTTGGGTGTCCCTGTTTTTCCGGTGATTAAGAATGCTTTGATCATCTATTTGATCAGGTTCCAAGCGGAAGCCTGCACTTTCATAAACGCACAGACTTAGGAATGTTCCATAAAGTGTGTGGATGTCTTTGATTGATCCCTTCCCTCTATCACCATACGGTTTTCAGTCAATGGGTGGAGCCTGGCCCTCTCTGCCTCCCGGCTAATTTGCCAACAGACGAGGACGTTCATGCGTGACAAAATGGAAACTGCTGGATACAAATGAACCGCTTCCCTATCATGACGTTATGTCCAGAAGCTGCGGCGTTGTAGAAACGAAGTAGCTGGCGTACCAGTGTCCATATAAAAGCAACATGCCAGTCTACATTTTCATAATCTTATCATTGGCAGTAGCCTGACCTGCTCTAATCTAATCTGACGTGGTAGTGATATCCATAGCTCACGCACATATGCATGCAGCCTGCTGCCCGCCAACAGCGAGTGTAGTATGTACATGTACACATGTGCAGTCTTGGCGCCGCCGCGCGATGATGGCCGTGCAAGTTTCGTATCATAGAACTTGCAATTCAAATTGCCCGCTGTCAGCTTGTTTTCCATGTTCTCGGGCAAGACCTGACGGGAGCCGGTAAGAGTGGTTTTCGATGTCGTTCATCTTCCATTCTCCTATTGAAAGGCTCTCGTTCCGTTTCAGGGGTCATCACTGCGGAAGATCCTGCTTGCCATCTACATTTTCTTCTCAGCTGCCTTCGTGGTGGCTATGGTGACAACTCTGGCGCTCTCAGACGCCTAAGAGCGCGACTGGAGCTCGGCGTCTCAGGGGGAATCTCATCGCCCTTTGGCGTCGAGTCGACTGTAGACGATCCAGCGGGCCTCGATAGTTGCCGTCTGATGATCTAAATCCTCTCTTTCGGGACTGCCTCTGTGTGCTCTACAAAGAAGGGGCTCTGAACTCAAACACTTCGCAGGACGTAACTGTTTGTCTTCAGCAGGCGACGGGCGCTGCAGTGTGGCGGGGTCGGGCGCGACAGGCGGGGGCTCGTGACCGGCCACGTGTCAGGCTGGCAGCCCCCTCCTCCCACCGCCGGTGTTTGCCTGGCGGGGTCGGGCGCGACAGGCGGGGCTCGTGAGCGGCCACGTGTCAGGCTGGCAGGCCCCGCCTCTCACCGCCGGTGTCTGCCTGGCGGGGTCGAGCGCGACAGGCGGGGCTCGTGAGCGGCCACGTGTCAGGCTGGCAGGCCCCGCCTCTCACCGCCGGTGTCTGCCTGCGTCCAAGAGACATGTGTCACCGACACGTGTCACGGGAAGGGTGTCACGCACTCGATGTCGAGCTGTGTCAATGTGGTCATGTCATGGGCAATAGCGGGTAGTACTGTCCTTTCCTTCCTTGAGTGTTTATAGCGGTCTGTTATGTGCTCCGCCTTCGATGTCTTTCTAAATGCCTTCGCTTGAGCCACACAGACATTGACACTGTGGCGGCGTTGCTAGAAATTCGTTATGAGTTGAGATTTCTTATGCCAAGTTCACCAACTTCAACATATCAGGAGGAGATACTGATATTTATATTGACGGTACTCAATATTATACGCTGTGCCCATCCTAAAAAGCAAAAGAGTTCTAACATGTTCAGGAAAATATTACCATCAAAAACAATGCACGTGAACTCAGGCAATGTTCTCACTCCGCGCGGACACTGGCCCTAAAATATGTCAAAAAAGGTCGAGCATCCAAGGTTCTAACATCCCCTATACAGTTCATTTTAGTAGCAGCGTCTGCGCAGAGCATGTTCTGGATTCACGAAGCTTTTTCAGGTGTGAAGTTTTGCTGAACACGTCTGAACCCTTGTCAGTATATGAAGAATGAGCATAGCTCACAATATTGAGTTCCGCCAATACGCTTGTTATTTAGCGCTACAATGTCGTTTAACAAGTACCTTCCTGTATAATGCAGGTTGTTAATGCAATGTAAGAACCTTCAATTCATGATGCCGCCGAACAATCAGGAGCTGTAGGCTTTTCTGTCTTGCATCTAGAAATCGATTTCCAACTTTCCAGAATGCACAGAAGCGACACTTTGCAACATGCTGTTGTCCGCACCCTGCAATTCGTACAGTAATTTTACATACGCGGGTTTTTCGCTTGAGTTGGGGAAGCGGGGTGGGATTCATCAAATGACATACCGCATACACTGCTGGCGTGCCGGATGTCATGCAAGAATAGTGTGCTGCTGTACATAATAGTAGCCTTATGTGCGAACGCCGATGACGCTTCGCTTATATTCCTAGGCCACGCATTGCTCATAAGGAACATATACTACCCACAAGATCACCAGCATTGCTGTCACAATCCACGGCACTGCTGTTTGCGTGTCCGCTAGCGCACAGCTAACGACCGCAGGCAGTGACTTCAGCGTAAGCGCCGTTTCTGCACAGCTTCGATCCGTAAGAAGCGCGTGGTGGACAGCCGAGTGATCCGCAGATGTCCCGCACCGCTGACTGCCAGACCCGCTCGGCGCGGGCCAGGGCCCGGCGACCACCCGCAAGGGCCGACCACAGCTCGTACGCCCCTCTCATCTGTGAGGGGCAGACCGTCACGGCTGTGACGTCACCCATCGCCGTGTCGCACACGTGGACCCCGGCGTCTAAGACGGACCGCTGGCGATTTGCTGCGGGTGCGTATGGCGCTCCGTTCACATTTCGGAAGACGCTGGCAAAGAAGTGCCTTTTCCGTAAGCTTTAACGAGACCGATGACGATAATCTGGGGTGAACGCGGAAAGGTTGATTGAAATATATGGGTCTTGTAAGTCCGAACGTGTTTGTTTTGTACTTCGCATATGTGTCGGCCATGAACTAAACAATAGAGCAAAGGTGTAGTCTTATGTTCGGCCTCCTCCTCAGCCCAGAGGAGAAAATGGGTCTAGTTTTGCGAGAAAACTGTTTTTAGCGCATTTTAGGGTAGGTTCAGGCATTGTCGTTCGATAAGACCCTTAATTATTTTGCGAAATTAAATCCCTCCAATGGAGTCTGAACAGATGCCGCGCGGGGGACTAGTGTTGAGCGACTTTGTAGACGGTGTCGATTCAGCGTAAAGTCCTCAGCGATGTCTGGTCCTTGGCGTAAGATCGCCCTTAAAAACAGCGTAGCGCTGGTAATGTCAACAGAATATAGTTGTCGTAACTAGACGGGTCAGTACTCCACATTTGCTGGCTTATACGCCTTTGCATTTCGGTTCGAAGAACGTGAAATGGCAAGGGTAGCGTGTGCCATTTAAAAACGAATTATTTCCAAAGATTTGTATGAGCGGCCTGGCTTCAGAGCTCTCAGAGCTAAGCAGAACCTGTTCCGTGTTTTCCGAACCCATCACCCAAGTGCCGCAGCTTCCGCATTGCGTACGACTTTGACACCAGTCTCTTTGCCGGAAAGAGCCATCATGCGGAGGGTTTGACGTGTCGTACAGCGCTGCGGCACGGCCATTCCGTGCCAGGCCGGTACTTTAGCCAGTTGCCAGCTGATTTTCCTGTGTCAGGCAGTCCAAAAATGTCCATCTTCGGAGATTCGTGCTCGGCAGTGCTGGATTACGAGCCAAGCGTCGCTCTCCCAGACAACCGAGGCCGACGTCGTTGTTGCTAGTGGGATATAATCAGCTTTCTTTCGTGTACACATTCAGCTGTTTATCACTGTTGTTACCTTGCAATTCGTCATTGCCCAGAGGATTGTCAGAGGTTTTTGTTTTTCAAATCGCCTCCTTTCTGCATCAATGTCTGATATCAAACCTTTTTGTTTGCGATGATCACTTCTACGGCATTTTGATCACTCGTCCGTGAGCGTTTTTCAGATCGCTTCTTCCTGCATGAATTTTTTAATTCGTGCATTTGTGTTTGCAATGATTATTTCCACGATTTTCTGATCAGTCCGATACTAACGTTTTTCAAATTGCTCCTTCCTCCGTCAATGCTTGATGCCATGCCTATTTGTTTGTGATGATTATTTCCCCGATATTCTGACCAGTCCGATGTGTACGCGCCAATGGTTATGGAAGTGGCTTACAAATTAAGACCCAGTGCACTTAACAGAGCCACCGGATCATCTGACCGCCGGCCCATTGTCTTATTAAGGTTTAACAGGATTTTTGCAATATTTCAGCTTAGTCCTCACACAGATCTGTATGAGTGGATGGCTTGATTTCACCGTAACTTTATTTGCTTTAAAGTTAAAGCTCCTAACTGTTAGGATTTTGTGCTCCGTCAGAATGCCCACAGACTTTAAAATAAAGACTGGGACTAAAACTACTGAATTGTGGGGCATTCAGCCGTGTTCATGGACAGGTTCCGCTGATTTACACTCATGCATTCATCTCAAGACGCCGTTTTATCAAAGCGCCTTATTCGAAGTCCGGCAGGGAGCCAACATAACGAAGCACGCTTTTGCGTAGGGCAGTTCCTACGCATGCCGATTGCCGGGCAAATTCACCGCTGAAGCCTCTCAGCGCGTGCAGGCTTCCCGGCGTGTCGCTTCGGACCGGCCGGGTACGTTGTCACCGAACCTTCACCGCTGACGCCTCTCAGCGCGTACAGGCTTCCCGGCGTGTCGCCTTGGACCGGCCGGGTAGATTATCACCGAACCTTCATCACTGAAGCCTCTCAGCGCGTACACGCTTCCCGACGTCGCGCCTCGGACCGGCCGGGTACATTGTCACCAAACCTTCACTGCTGGCTTCACCGACTCGGCGGACACGCTTCGGTGTCGGTGTCCGGGCGAACAGCACTACGTGACCCGTAGCACGTACCACGGACGGGGTGTTGCCACGGTTATCAATGCTATCGTAGTGCCTTAGCGCCTTAGTGCGTGCAGGACCTTACTGATTCCGATAACTATATAACTAGCAGATATATGTCACTGGGGCGAGCACGAGACCGTGCGTCGTTGCGCACATGACCATCCACAAGGATAACGCCCCTCGGGTGTGCGCGTTATCCAGCAGTCAACGGACGCGTGCTTCGTCAGGGTCCGCCGAGTCGACAACGCATCGAACTGCGATCGCCAGTTTTGGCACGCGAGTGGTTAGTCGACGGCGGCACAGCGCCCCGCCAAAATCGTACATTCTTTGAGCTGACGCGCGCCTGAAGCACTGACGCACGTTCTGCACTGGTGATGTTATACGAAGACCAACAGTGTGACACACCAGTATTTTCCGCGAGTTTCTGTCATTCCTAATCAGCAAACGGCAGAGATGGGGAGGGGGCTCATCGACCCCCGTATCAGTCCGTGCCAAGGTCGGCTAAATACGGGCGCCGCAAATGTCACCGGCTGACGCAAGCGGCCAGACACGCATACACTCCCGGGGTCATATCTCACGAATGACGGGTCGCAGCGACATGAAGCTTGCACATCCAGATAGACATTCAATTGGATCATGAGTTGGTGCGAAGTTTGTGGTGCCACGTAGCACGCAAAATGTGCACATGGGTTCGAAAGATGAACTTGCCCATTTTCGACGGTTTTTTTCGTTTTAGGTCATATCTCGGCACAAAATGTAGATAGAGGCGTTAATTTAATTTTTTCAAACTTAAAGTTAAGGGGGGGTCAGTTTCAGTGCGTATTGCGAGTTCGTGCGGCAAATGGTTACGCTGCAAATTGCAAGAAAATTTGCAAGCGGTTAAGTTTAAAAAGTCGGCGCCGCATACAAGTTTCTACGGTTAAAATCTTAAGATTTGGGCGTTGAAAACTACACCAGCGTGTTGGCTAATTCATTCCGTCTCTTTACCATCCTTTGGTTGATCACATTTTGCAATGGTCCGCTCGCAAATGATCATAGACTAATGGGTTGCATGACGGCTTTTTACGCCGCGACCAAACGGTGCTGTCCCGTTTCCCGTCCGCCTCCGGTGCATGCGCTATATTAAACGGCCTTCTGTTTCACGTAATTCTGCATTTCGCAAAAATGAGCGCGTGGTGAGTGAAAAGGATTGCCAATATCAAGTCCACATGGGCGACACAGATCTCTCTAGGTATTACAAAAAAAAAATGCAATCTGCGCCGATTTCATTTTTATTTTACATTTGTCCATGGCCCACTCGCTCGCGAGCTTAGATTAGTAGATTGCATGACGGTTTTTTATGCCGCGGCAGAACGGTGCCGCCCGTCTCCCGGCAGCACCACGCATGCTTTTATGGTCGAACTGCCGTCTGCACACGTGACCGGCTGTCGTATTTCACCGCCTCCAGCCCGGTGCGCCATCTCGCACCAATATCTCGTCAGCGACGGGTCGAAGCGACCCGGAAGTGGCACGAAATGACGTCCCACGCAAAATGGTGCGGTCGCGGGGGTCGTGTGTCATGCGCTTAATGATGAATTTTGCTCTCTTCCACGGGCTCACGCGTTGTGGGCGATATCTCCGCACCGGAGACACGGACGTACTCGGGAGTGGCACGCTTCGACGGGAGATTATCGCAGCACCTATTGCTCGTAACCCTTAATGCATCATCATACCTATTGTTCGTAACCCCTAATGTATCATAACACCTAATGCATCACAAGGCCCAACGTCCATAACCTATAATATATCATAACCCCTAATGTATCATAATCCCGCTTCGACAGGCAAGCGAACGAGCATCGCATGGTGGCCACTGTGATATCGCACGTGCAAGGTGTCAAGCGAATATGAGCTGACAACATGGATTTTGACTTCTTCAAATAATTATATAACTGCCATCGTATCATCTTGCGATAGCGGACAGATATCGCAATTACGACTGGATGAAGCGACCAGGAGTGGCACGCTCCTGTTGAATGTTAATATTGTGATTTTGAAGGGTTGAGTCAAGCAACGCCCGCCGCTGCCTTATCTCGCAAGTTGGCCCCGGTATGACCGGAGCAGGCCTCTGGTTGGTTGAAACCCAACTGCCACGCGAGTACGTGCAGCGTGATGATTGGTGGAGCCGGTTGAGGTCAGCGCGGCGTGACTTGTGCGTGTCGGCCCGGGCGAGGAGCGGGGTGGGGAGGATGTGGCAGGCCGCGAGACGGGTATGTGGTTCTTGGATGATAGTGGCATGCGAGTTTTGGGAATTTGTTAACCCAGCGTCTGATATGAGTCGAGATTTGCGAAGCTTCAAGGTGGAACCTGGAAAAACTGCACCATTTCGAGTGGTTAGTTGGGCGTGCCACGTGTGACGCGCAATAAGATGGATTTTGCCGCTTCCGATCATTTCCATGAATCGTACCATTTCTCGGCACATGAAAGGCAAAAAGCGAATCGGGCGTGTCATACATCATCAGTGAATCGAACAGGCCATTGGGTGGTACCAATTTGTTCATGGTGTGTCCATCTGTCCCGTTTTGTGCAATGCAGTACACGGACCGAGCGGCGGGTCGCTGAGTGGTGGGATTTGGACACGATGCGTGTGTGCACGAGGCGGTTTTCCACGGGTAGGTCGCGAGCCGCTGCGATGCGGGGTTCGGGCGTGGCAAGTGGCGGAAGGGCCGTTGTGAGCCCATTGGCTTTGCACGGGCGACCGGAACATGTGACTGGCGACAAAGCCGACCAGCAGCCGTTCGAAACTGGCCACATCCCGGCGACCAGGGGTCGGAGCGACATTACATTGACACGCTTAGGTAGATAATCAGACGGGGCATCACATGACGCCAAACATACGGTCACACGTGCCACATGTCACGTGCACAGAAACGGCCGAGATGTACCCGCCCGTTTTTACGTTTTTCATGTTGTCATCATCCCGGCAGCCGGAATGCGCAGAGGCGCGAATTAAGTTTAAAGCATCGACTGACCGTCGTGTGAACTACACG